ATGATATAAAAGTGTGTGTGTGTGTGTGTGTGTGTGTGTGTGTGTGTGTGTGTGTGTGTGTGTGTGTGTGGTGGGGGCAGGATACAAGGGGACACTAGTCTCCCTCCAATCTCATCCAACAGGAATTGACTGGAAAGCTATCTGTAGCCTCTGTTTTGATGATGTTATACCTTGCTGTTGCTATAGAATCCTTTTATTAAAAGTTTTACCTAAGGGATGGTCTGTGCCAGCACTCTCTTACTGGAAACTCCAGCTGACTATAGAAAGGGGTTTCCCCAAGCAACTTCTGTTGGATGTTCTGAGCCTCTAATTTGATGATTTGTGCATTTGTGTCCCCCTCCACTTCTCTCTTTTTTAACTTTTGTGTGCTAAACATATAATGAACTCGCTGTTTCAAATCTAAAGTATGGCCAGCCATCTATCATTCTTTCAACCATAAGGGACAGTAAGTAATGGAGAAGAGGAAGCCTGGCTATAGGGATTTAGTGGGTACTTCCCCTCTTCCCCCAACTGATGATCTCACTCACACTGGACCACAGCTGCCTAAGGCCACTGAGGGTCCATGTGCAACAGCATGGATGTGGAACTCCTGCCGTCCAAAAATCTAAAGATGTCAAAATTCTAGGATTCGCTACCCTGAGAACACAATCTCCAAAATATGCCACTTTGCGGCTTCCCAGGAACTTGACACAGGCAAGTGATTCATGAATAAGCAAATGAAAAGTTTGGACCAGGTGGTGGTGGCGCACGCCTTTAATCCCAGCACTTGGGAGGCAGAGGGAGGCGGGTCTCTGTGAGTTCAAGCCAGCCTGGTCTGCAGATTGAGTTCCAGGAAAGGATCCAAAGCTACACAGAAGAAACTCTCCCCCCCCCACCCAAAAGAAAAGAAAAGAAGTGAAGAGAAAAGAAAAAGCAAAGCTTGGACCTGGACCTGAGCTCACCTACTGTTCATGGCCATGTACGGCCAAAGTGTTCCCCAAAGGGAGTTATCAATATCACTGCCCCTGGCCTGCATATTGTTTCCATTATCCTCATGCTATCAGCAAAGCTCAGAGACATGTCCAAGTCCACCTTCCCGCCCGCTCTGAATGCTTCCTTACAATGTTTCTGCTCCTACGAAGGAGAGGCATTTAATTCCATTAAGATGGCTCTATAACATACCGCCAATTCCTTGCACTACACTCAGTATGTGCCACTGTAAGAAGCTAAAGACATTTTCACATTTGGATACTACTGGGATGTATGGAATGGTACCATGCCATTCTCAAATGTTTACTTAAACTTTAAAGAAATTGCAGGTCTGGGAATCCCTTTGACACTTATTCTTCTCTAAGCCATTATATATCTCCCAAGCACCAAATCTAAATGAAAAAAAATGTCTGTTGCATTCTGGTAAAAAGAAAAAAAATGGTCTGTGTTAGTGTACTGAGGGATGGTCTGACATTCTTTTAAAGACAAATCATCCTGGAGAGCATTCCAAGAGCACTCTAATAGAACATGATTTTAGAATTTAACGTAAGTATAACATTGGGGGAAGAATCCTACAGCTTTTCTCGGGTGCATAGCACCAGTGTTCACACACACTGGCAAATAGCGGCCCGCATACCAGGGCTGAGGCTGATCTAGATCTTGTTCTATGACAAGAAAATGGGTGCTAAAGTCATTTTATCACTATATACTTAAGAATCATGATGCTTCCAGGATGCTGCTCTGGCATCCAGCAAGCTGGACCATCTGACTGACTACTGCAGGAAGTGCATAGTCCCCTTCAGAAGAAGAAAGTAAACACAAAAAAACAGAGGTAAAGTTAGCTTAAGCAAATCAGCCTGGAAGATTTGTATTGGGAAGAAGTGTATCTTCCAGAGGACTTCTGGTGAGAAGGGAATGTTTTCTCTTTACAAAAGCTTGCTTATAGCAGTGTTTCTCAAGGAACTCAGCTTTTTTGGTCCAAGAAGCACACAGCAGTCTACTGAAGCATGCAAACTCAATGCTCAGCACATTCTGAGAGCACAAATACAATTCTGACCTTGCAAGGTCTGACTTTCTCTTTTCTCACACCTTTCTTTCCCTTATCTTTCTTCTTCTGGTCTTCCATTCTTTTTCTTTTCTATGTTTTATAACGTAGGAAAATGGAAAGCCACTGATCTCAAATATAGGGGAGGAAAGAAAAAAAAACCTAAATAGGTTAAATGTCTAATGTTCTGAAATCCTCAGTGTAATGAAAGACCACCGTTTAAAGATACAAAAAGTATCTTTCCCATTATTGTCTAAACAAATAAAAACAAATGGAAGTCAGTGGAGATGCTGAACAGCCTGCCCTTGGCAATTGTTCTGGCTCTGGAAATATCCAGCTCTTTGCAATCACTAATTAATTAGAGAAGATGACATTCTCCTTCACCATGGTTGAAAATGTGACAAAGAAGTCAAGAGTTTTTCTTCAAGCTGATTAAAGGATGCCAAGAAAGAACTCAGACAAGAGTTGGGAGAGCTCATGTCTGAGGGTAGAAATCACATCTTTACCAAACAGATTCCACACGGGAGGAACAAAGGCTTCTACGCACAGGTGCCCTTGGATGCAGCAGGGCTCTGCTCAAAGAGCATCTGCAAAAGGGCCCAGTCTTTGTCAGCGGATGCCCATCCTACAGACAGAAGGTGCCGTAGAGCTTCATCTTTCTCCTTGCCTTTCCACAGCACAGACAGATGGCTAAATACCAGCCCTGAACCGCTCTCTCCCACAATCACTGTGAAAAGTACATTGACTGGGTTTTCGTTTTCAATTTGCAAATTGAATCTGATGTGAAAATACACGACACTGTTGAAAAACAAATATTTCAATTTCTTAAAAAGTGACATGCGATCCACTGACACCCGAACTTAGTAAAGATGTAATTAGTCATTTTGGGCCATTACCTTCTTCAAATAAGTAGCAAACAAAAGTCTTACACCCTCTGTTGAGGAGTTATATCAACAATTTCAAATTCTGAACAGGGATTATAATATGTCTTGCTTATAGATGTATGTTTGTCTTCTCTGATTCCCTCAGTGGTGGAACAGCACCCTCAAGGGATTCTGACATTACCTCTCTCTGAACAGTGTCACTTAGCTTCCAGTAGGCCTCTATGTATATTATGTGCAGAGTGATAGAGACACCAGAAATCAACCTTAAAAGTCATGTTCACACAGATGAACATACATACAAATACATATGTAGTCTACAAGTCCATGCGTACCATTCCTCAAAAAACGATAGGTCTTGAGTTTGCTTTTAAATAAGGTTTAAACTACATAGCAGAATTGCATGGGCACAGCCTTTCTAAACATCACAGTAGATTCTTCAGATATCGAGGCAGGGTCTTCAAATATAGAGGCAGGGTCTCAACTCTTGCTCTCTCTTGCTAAATGTGAAACTTGAAATCGTTGCTACTCTGGCTAGCCTGCCTCCCTTGGTGTCTGCTTCCCTGCGTCTGGGACTGCAGGAGGGCCAGTATGCACATCTTGCTTTTAAATGGGTTTGAAGATCCAGCATGTGGTCCTCACACTTAATGGTTCTCACACTTTACCCACTAAGCCGTCTCCCCAGCCCATGAAGAGCTTTCCTTTTTATTAGGAGGTTTCAGCCACAGTCCCAGAGCCACTTAACCTTTTATTATGGAAGCCTTACGAAAGTGATCAAGGTTAGCCCACTCAGACATAAGGGCCATAGGTGAGGCTTACCCATTCCTCCAGCACATCACAGGCCCCACTTGGAAAGCACAGTATACCCTTAAGAGCTCTGATACTTGCCTGGAGCACAGAGTAACAAGCTAGTGCCAGTACATATCAGATAGGACTTTTTTTTTCACTTTTTGCTTCAAGGTTGAGTATGAGCATGTCTGCTGTGACACTGACAATCTGATCAAAATTTAGAAATGATTGAAAAAAATATGGTCTAATCTTCTACTCAATCTACAACTTCAAATTCCAATTCAGCTTCAGGATAAACAAAGGCCCTGGAACCCTCCCTGATATCCTCACAGTTCTTACTGAATGGAAAAGAGGGCTTGCTTCTAATCCAGGGACTGAAAGCTGGCTCAGTTCTTCATTTTGCCCCCTTAATAGTAGTTCTCCTATGTTCTTCTTTTATGCTGGGAAGGAAAAAATTGTGCTGTCCCAGGACTAAGGCAAAACCCATGTTATGATGAGTAGGCAGTACACTATTGTAACTTACATAGTTAGAAGTAGTACCGGGCATATTTAATATAAAAGGAGTCTAAACTCAGTGCTGACCATTAGCTCTAACAACAGGAGAGAACTTTCATTCACAAAGGATTTTCAAGCATTCTTAGTGGAGTTAAAAACTGAAGGGTGAGACTCTTTCCAGAAAATACGTGATGTGAAAAACAAGGGCCAATGACTGATCCTATGATCCATGCTTCTCCCTGAAGGTAAGTAGCCTGTCTGTCTTAGACATACTTGACCATATCTGCAGGTATACCCACATCTACAGGCCTGGCCTACTTATTTGATCCTTGCAGCTGCTGTGGTACCAATGTAGCTCAAATTCTTACCACCTTAACATGGGCTTTGCCTGTCACTAGCTCATAAGATTGCCTAGGATACCTCTCATGTACAGATCTAGGAATTCCTTGAACCTCCCCAAACATGAGATATGGCAGTCATATCCAGGTTCCATGAAAGTGAAACATGTCTGAAGATGCTTCTGCCCCATCCAGTAAGGGATGCTGTAATAGGTGGGATCCCCTGATCAGATTTTCCTGAGACATTGTGTTCATTCAGCTTTTGGGAAGATAACCCTTCATTAGTTTGCAATTGGGTGTACTGGATGCAAACAGTAACTATATATATACTGTGTGATCAGGACCACACTCAGTTTTCTGCTTCACTGTTTTCCTCTGGACTGGCATCTGCTGATAGGAGGAGAAACACATGCATGCCTGTCTCATGGGCTGTTCCCTAGGGAAGGCAGACTAAGTCAGATATTTTCCTTTCCTATTTCTTACCTTTGGCTGCAGTGGTGGTACACAGGGGCCTGGCGCAGGGTCTGTGATATAGGTCTTCTTGGGACCACTGACTGGATATATCCCGGGAGGGTTCTGATTCCCGGCCCCAGGAGCAGCATACCCAGGTTCCCGCTTCCAGGTACTTGGATGACCTTGTTGTCCATAAGAAGGCTCAGCATCATTTCTGCCACCATAGGCTGGCCCTGCTGCATAATAGGGTTCATAATAGCGTCCTTGGTTGGGAGCATACCCATATCCCTGCTCGGGCTGATGTCCTGGGGGTGGATTATATGCATAGTCGGTGCCAGCACGAGTTGAAGAAGGAGGGCACTGTGCTGACAGAGGAACTGGCTGGGTGTTATAGCCATGCGGCCCTGGACCATACATTTGTCCAGCGGATGGGCCAGCCATGTAATGTTGGCTGGGCTGGGCTGTCTTCACTTGCACATTGAAGGTTGGCCTTGAAGGTGTGGAAGCTGTAGTATAGGAGGCTGGAACTGGCTGAGGCTGTGGTTTGAGAGTTCCAATGGGAGCCACTGGGATGGGTGCAGCCTGGGTTGCAGGCTGTGGTTTCATTGCAGACTTCTTGGTTGCCGTCAGAGGGGGTTGGTTTGGAATGACCATTCTCTTATGTCCTGTGACAGGAGTACAGACTGCAGGAGAGGCTGTTCCACTAGCAGAGACCTGAAAGAGAAGAGAAATATGATGATCAGTAATAAAAGAATAGGGAGTATGGTGAATTATTATGTATTAAGGTGTAAAATACAATAAGGCATGTTCCTTCCCTAAAGCAGCTCACTAACTAAAATGACCAGTCATGTGCTCAGTACCAGTGAAAAACTGCAAGAAAAAACTAAAGGAGCAAATTCACTTGAAATAGTGTCAAAAAGAACAAGACATCAGGAATAACCAAAGCATTAAGTATTTAGTGACTGAAAATGAAAACAGTGAGCAAAATAATACCATAAATAAATTGTTAAAAATTCAGGTCTATCTAGAGTGATACCTATCAAAATCTGGAAACAGAACACTTATCTATTTCAAACTCAGATGGAAACAGAAAAGATCACAAGTAGCTAAACCAGTCTTGTAAAGGAAGAGCCAAGCTGGATTCATCACATTGCTGATTTCAAAATATGTTGTAAATTTTAATAAAACAATATCACAACATAGAGAGAGACTTAAGATGGAAGGAACAGAAAAGGCATTTTGGAAATACATATATAAAGTTCACTTATTTTCTGTATGAGTGCTAAGAACACACACTATAGAAGGTATACTGTCTTTTACAAGTTGTATGGAAATACTGGATTTTTACAAGTCAGAAAGCAAATCAGAGACTGAATGTACATAACTCCAGATGCTTCTGAGAATAGAAATCCCCTAGGACAGAACACAGACTAGAAATTTAGGAGGACAGGCTCCACAGTGATTTGATGGATACAGCACCAGAAGCACAGACAACAGAAACAAACAAACAAACAAAAAAAACCAGAGAAATGACGTCATAATGAAAATCTCTACAGAGCGAAAACAACGAAGTGAAAGGCAAGTCGTGAGCAGGAGCATATGATCACATATCCAGTAATGGGCTAACTCCCAATGTACCTAGAAAAGCCTTAGAGCACGGAAGTAAACAGAGACTAAGAGAGGCCCAAGAGATGACTCAGTGCCCAGGATCCACATGCCTGCTCCCAACCATCCATAAATCCAGTTCCAGGAGATCCGACACCCTTTTCTGGCATTCATCAACACCAGGAACATACATAGAATAGAAGTATAGATGCAGACAATGTCCATAAAATAAACATAAAATAAAAACATAAAACAGAACTTTTACAACACATGACAACAAAATACTTCTCTAAAAGGTACGCAAAAGACAAAACATTAACCATTGCTCAAAATTACTAATAATGGAGAAATGCAAACAAAACCCAAATGAGGAGTCACATGTTTGTCACGATCAGTGTTATGAGGCAAAGCAAAGTGGCAACCTAATACTGCCAAGGGGCTCTGCACACTGCTGCTGGGAAGGCAGGGTGACAGATCAGAGGTGAGACACAGTAGGGAGTGCCTGAAAATATCAAAATGGAACAGACATATGACCTGGCAATTTCCCTTATTGGTGCATATCCAGTATTATTGGAATGCAGATCTCAAGGGGAAACTGGCATTTCCAATGTCACTGGAGCACTATTTACAATAAGAAAAAAAAAAAAAAGAAACTTAGACATCCATCAACAGATGAAGGATAAAGAAAATGTGCATACAGTGAAATATTATTGGTTCCTCAAAAAGTAAATCCTACATCATGTATCAACATGGATGGACCTCAAAGGCATTAGGGCATGAAAAATAAGCTGGTCATAGAAAGACAAATTTGCATGATTTTACCACATGGAATGCTGAAAATAGTCAAGACTCACAAAAGCCAAGAATAGGGTGGTAGTGGAAAAGGGCTGGTGTCTTCGTTAGGGTTACTGTAACAGAGATGAAACAACAGAACCAAAAGCAAGATGGCGAGGAAAGGGATTGTTTGGCTTATTTTTCCACATTACTATTTATCACTGAAGGAACTCAGGACAGGAACTCAAGCAAGGCAGGAACCTGGAGGCAGGAGCTGATGCAGAGGCCATGAAGAAGGGCTGCTTACTGGCTTACTCACTTGGCACCACTGACAATGGGTGTCCCATCCCCCATGAATCACTAAGAAAATGCCCTACAGGTTTGCCTACAACACAGTCTTATGGAGCCTTTTCCCGAGCTGAGACTCACTCCCCTTGTATGATTCTAGTTTGTGTTGAGCTGATATAAAACTAGCCAACACAATGCAGGGTGGGATAGGGAGGATATAAAGTAGGAAGTTCTCAATCAATTGATTTGTTCTCATTCAAGCAAGATAAGCTGCGAAGGTCCACTGTTTACCAGTTCACTTACTATCATCAACAATGTATTGTGCAATGAGAGTTTTCTCAGAAGGGAAAGGAAAAGATGAAGCTATCCTGATATGACCAAAGGGGGCAGAGACGTCCTGCTCCTAAGAGATAGCAGGTAAGAGACGAATCCCACATCTTCTCATCTCATGTGCACAGGAGTTTTCACTTGTGCCCCACGGTGAAGAGTACCACCCCAGCCCCACATTAGCACAACAGAGCTTCATTAATATACACCGAAGAAGCTTGGAAAACGAATGGCAGAGAAACTAGCATATAAAAAGATTCAACTCCCAGAAAATCACACATACATGTATGTATAGATGAGTGTGATATTTAAATGTGCTCAATTTCAAACGAAAATGTTAAGTTGTGACAAAAATTCAACAATTCATACAAAATCAAAAATAAAATAAAATGTCAAAATATATTCTTGGAATGATCAAATAATCCAATAAACAGAAAATATTCGGCAACATGACTCTTCAATTAACTGATTATGTGGACCAGATAAGCACTGGCACAGTTTTCTTTAAGTATGAAGAACATAAATATATACAGTTAAAATAACGATTCCTGCTCTTTTTCCTTTCACACCCAATCAGATAAATTATGTAGAACTTTGGAGGAAAACTGTATACACTAAAATATACTAGTTTTTAAGACACTTATGATAAAAATATCCAAACACGTGCCAGCATACACGCAACAGAACACACAGCAGAGGCAAGGGAACATGGAGAGAGTTTGCCTAGGGAAGTTTTTCTTTTTTGGAACTTAGCAAAGTAATGGGTTTCATTTGACATTTTCATACATAGTCTTTTCTTTGGGTGGGTCCTCCTTCCCCCTCTCCCTGAATCCCTGTCCCCTTTCGGCTCTGATGTCAACCACATGCTATTATTACCCTCTTATCCCTTTTCTTTAAGCCTTCCTGGAGTCTCCTACTGTTCTCTTCCTAGTTCTAGAACTGACTTCCATATTCACACTGGCACACATGCAAACACACAATGAGATTTTGCATATAAGAGATCATGTGGTATTTTAGATATGCAAGCAATGGCTCTGGAGATGGGGCTCTGAAACTGTCATTCAAAGAATCTGGGAGGAGGGATGGAGGGAGAGGGGGAGGGAGGGAAAGAGGGAGGGGAGACAAGAGAGGAGAGGAGAGAGAGACAGAGAAGGAGAAAGGAGGAGAGAGAAAGAGGCTGTGCTTATCAAGAAGAAAACTTGGAAAAATTGTTTCTAAGAAGTGAGAACTACATTATTTCACTGTTCAAATGCAATTACAATTGACATTAATTTTCAGATGAGGTGGTTTTAAAAATCTGTCCTATGGCTGAGTTTATAGCCGCAGCAGAGAATGTAACTTCTATTAGGTTAGTTCCCCAGTCATTATACACATTTATAGTTGAGTCTGTAAGATGTTCAAAATATGAACCACTGGAAATAAGATGGGAATTTACTGCCCCACGGGAATGTTTTCATCTTTTATCTATTGGTTAGTCTAAGTGTACAGAAAGGTATATACCTGGATGAAACTGAGCTTCATATCATTACAAATAATTTAATAAACTTTACATAGAATTAATAACAATGGCATTATAGTCAAGGGCCCTTGATCCCCAACGTGACCTCTTTTCCCTGTGTTCTCTCTTCAGGTCCATGTCTAGAAATTAAAACACAATCAGTATCTAAAACACCATCAGTGTCATAAAAGTACTTAACAGCTCTGTCTCTAAGGTTCATCTGTATTCTGAACCATGGGCTTACATATTCGATTACTGCATCTATTGACTTTGCAGATTCAACATATTAAAAATGTTCCATACCACTTTAGACCTGCTTCATTCTAGTTTTCTAATTCATCTAACTCAAATGAGAACAGAGGGGTCTACCCGAGCCTCTCTCCTGATTACTGTTCAGTCACTGAATCCAACCATTACTCACCAAATAGTGAATTTCCTATTCTAGGTATGTTGGTATTACACCACATTTACTAAGAAAGCACTTGCTGTTCTCAAACAATGTCCAACTGGTCACTTCTCAGGAGATCCTTCTGTCTGCACCTAGAACAGTTTCTCTCAAACATGCATGGAATCACACTAACCTGCTATTTGAAATTCTTCAATAAGTTAGTAGAATAATGGACTACTCCTCTTCATTTCCTGTCTGAGTGTCATGCCAGACATTGGTTTTCCTCTATATCTAAGTAACCTAGCTCTCTCATACCTCAGAGACTGATTTCTTTGGTTAGCCTAATGTTTAGCTACTAAGCAAACCTTGGCTTGATCCCTCTATCAGAGTGTTTCTCATTTCCCCCTTTCTTTAAAATCATATATGCATATATCTGCTTCTTCAAGGGAAAGGTCTAGTCACTTTTACTGAAACAGACATCTAAATAGTTTATAACTTCATAGGTCACAGCAGAAATTTAAAAAAATTTTTGATCAGTGAATGAACAATTGTAAGAAAAATGCAAAGTATCAACATCTATTTTTCCTTATAGAATTGGCAATAAATACATGGATAAATTAGGTACATGCTTAAATATAGTGGTGATATATTTCTCTAGTTTAATGACTTTAAAATTGAATTATTAATACTATAATCTTTTCAAAAAGCATTTGAGGTGCTATTTTCGTTTTGTTTCTTTGTTTTAGATGGGGTTTTTACCAATTAGCTAAGGCTGGCCTTGAATTCACACCAGAGTCCTGAGTTCTAGGATAACAGGGCATACACCAGCACACT